AGTGTTGCATGACTGCGGAATTGTCATTCAAAGTGTGACAGCGCTGAAAGCTGAAAATTGGCCTGGACAGGAAGGGGGTATAAGTGCCCTGTAGGCAAATGGTTAAAATAGATTAACCCTAATGTTCTGACCTCCTATTCCAAAATTCTTGAGGCTCTAAAATGCCAGGAAAGTACAAATTCCCCCAAAATGGTTTATTTTTGGAAAGTAATTATACTCCAAAGTATTTAGTAAGACGTATAGTAAGTTTTTTTTTAAGTTGTAATTGTTTGCCACTTTGTGGATAATGAAGAAAGTAAGTAACATTTGATTGTATTTCACAAAGTTTGAATCCTTCAAGCTATTTCTCACACACGGCATGGGCATACTTACAATTACACTCCAAAACATATTCTGCTGCTTCTCCTGAGTATGAGGATACCACATGCGTGGGACATTTTCACAGTCTGGATGCATAAAGAGGCCCAAAATCCAAGGAGCACCTTCAGGTGTCAGGAATGGACTCAGCACTGGTGGTGGGACTCACCTGCCGTGTGGGCTGCAGTACCAGAGCTGACCAGCGGGTGCTCTCAGCAGCCAGAAGCTCACTCCTGCAATCAGCCAATCCTGGGGCTGATTGCAGAAGGTGTATTTAAGGCATGACCAGGCCTGTGATCTGGGCCTTGGTGTATGTTTTCCCATGAGCCCCTGTACCTGGTATCTTGTGTTCCTGCCTCGTTGCTGACCCTGCTTGATCCTGACCTCTGCTGATCGTCTCCTGTTGAACCCGGCTTGTGACCCTGACCATTCTCTGCCTGATCCTTTGTACCGCGCTGCCCGTGAGTTACTGAACCCAGCTTGTGACCCTGACCATTCTGTGCCTGCTCCTTTGGTACCTCGCTGCCCGCACGTTGCTGACCTGGCCCGTCTGACCACGCTTCTGCTCTGCCATCCATCCATCCTGCACGGATCCAGCCGTCCCTGCTCACACCTTCTGCCTCTTCACATCAGGCTTTCTACCTGCACATACCTCTGGTGGATCCCTCTACCACGAGCAGGTGTACTCAGGGGCCGGGACCTGGTTCCTGTCTGCTCCAAG